GGAGAGAAATCGCAAAGGCAGCCACCAAGGACATACCATGACCACGACCACTCTGACAAGAGTGTACGATTGAAACGAAGCCTATCTAGCTGTAACAATAATATCCACCACAGTTACAGTGTACCATCCATCCTTTATTTCAGTAGTAAATTATGCGCTATCTTGGAAAGATCTAGTTCGATCCAGTAGAGTTAAACCACGGACGTCGGGTACAACTTTACAGGGCAAATAATGGTTAATTTCATTATTTTTGTGGTCGTAAAGCTGGCGTATCGTTAGCTCGCGTGTTTCACGTTCCTAGATACCACATTGCTATGATAACGCTCACTAGAATACGTCGTAAACTATATTATTGTTCATATTTCGGATAATGAGATTCTTTCAAGAAATTATAAACTGAAGAAATTAGGCTTAATAGAAAAGTATTCCCATATTTTTATTCGTGTGGAAATGATATAGTATTCTGGAAATACAAACTAGTTATTTTAACTATAACCCAGATGAAGTTTCATCTCCAAACTGACTCTGTCAGAATGGATCCAGTAAGGCCAATGTCCAGCTGGGCTTGCGGATCCAAGAGCAATAATTCAGGGCCACGGAGCCCCGGCCTAGAGCAGAAGAAGGCAAGGGTGGTTTTAAGTCAGTCAGAGTCTGACACTCCGACTCGCCCTCACTCTGAACAGGAAGAACAAGCTACAATGGGATACTAAATAGAATGCACGGTCGGCACGGTGGCTAGAGAACTGCTGGCTGCGCCGCATCGTGTCTGGGGTTCGATCCCGCACGGACCAACTCTTTGTGATCCACAAAATGTTCCGGGTCTTAGTATGATGTGGATATGAAATTGTATGTTTGTAAACGCATCCACGACTTAGAAGAAAATCCTAGTGTGGGGAAATGTTTAACAAAAATCCAGTACTTGTATGAAAACTAGTTCTAATTAATTCCTTATCAAATATCACAGTGAAGCTACATGAGCATTGGTTTCGTCTGCATTATGATGGTATATCGTGCTGTAGGTACCCGCTAAGCTGGCAGGCTTGCATGAATAATATCCAACGGTAATGAGCACCAGCCGATGCCAAAGTTATGACGGCACGGATCGCTTGCAACACAATTATTTATGAGTTCATTGCATAATCGTGACGTCATTGTTTTGTCAATCAAAAGATTAATAGGAGGTAGGTAGGTATCAGTACAAGGAGGTTAATCTACTATTATGTTGTAGGTATTATTTAATTATTTATCACTCGGTAACTGGCTATTTTTCATTAATTCATAAGGGTATGAATCTTAGCCCTAATAAATACTTATGATGCATATACAATTTGGTAAAATTCAGTAAAGACGTTTCGCAGAAGTAAGCCTAAGGCTTTAGGCCTAAAAAGCCTCCCCCTTAGTCCTCCACGTTGCAACCTGCAACCATTGGCTCCCCGCGACGCTAAGTTTTCCGGATCATGGTTGCCACTCTAGTACTTTTCGGACCCAGCGGGAGGAAACGCCCGAGTGTCGTCATTGTGAGGACCACCTAGAGGATACGGTGGAGCATACGGTAGCGGTATGCCCTACCTGGGCTGAGCACCGCCGTATCCTCAGGGAAGTGATCAACGGCGGCGGCGACCTCTCACGCCCGGCCTTAGTCGAGGCCATGGTGCGGAGTGAGAGGAACTGGGACGCCGTCTCCTCCTTTTGTGAAGCAGTCATGCTCGCAAAGAGAGAGGCGGCCCGCGTGAGGGAGCAATCCTCCTCCTCACGCCCCAGCAGCCGCAACTGGCGACACTACGGGCGTCGGGGATCAAGGGACGATCTCCGGCCACCGTAAGCACGGGCCTGCGGTCGGCGAGTAAGACCAGAACCAGGCCCGAGCGTACGGCCCGTAGCGTTCCGCGCGCGCCTCAAAGAGCCATTAGACCACCACAGACGGGGCCCTAAAGGGCTGATGTTCAGCCGGGGTTGCGGGGTAAGTGCAATGAGGCACCGCGACCTCGGCACAGAGCAGGAGAAGGAACAGGGGGGTTTTTAGCCAGTAAGAGTCTGACACTCCCTCCTGCCCGGCCCTGGGCGGGAGAAGTCATCTGATGATTTTCCCCTCCCAAAAAAAAAGTACTTTTCGGACCCATCAGCCGTCCGTCCTTCGAGGAAAGTGACCTGCTCACTGCCAATTTAGCCTGCAGATTTTACGAGCTATGTCGGTAACTTTGGTTCTTTGGCGAATTTTCACATTTTATCGCGCATAGAGACCCCGAGCATAGCCCGTTCCATCGCGAGTTTTTCTAGAAGGTAGGGACCACCCTAATTTCTGGCCTTCTAGAAAACTCAAAGTCGCTTAGCTACCACGTCTCAGTACCTACCTATCGATCATCTATTACTTTTATCTACTACCTACTCTTTAAATTGAAGATGTGTATTTCCACCAGGCTCCATCAGAATAATAAAAACTTTCGATTCCAAAAACTAGTAATAAAAGCGTGTTCAAAATAAAACTGACCTAAATTCGTTTTAAATCAACATGCATTCTTTCTGCTAACCTGTTATAAGAATCATAACTTTAATATTGTTGAAAAACAATATTTTATAAAGTTAAACTCGTAATCTGTGAACTACAATAAATGTCAGTTTCGCCACGCAAACGGAGCAACTTGCAAACTTTTAATAGTAAGTTGAGTTTGCCGACGGAATGCAGCATTCATTTCTAAAAGACCAACGAATGAAGCGATAGATTAAAAAAGAACTTTCGTAAAAAGAAACGTTGATAATGCCGTTTTGGAAGCTCGGTAATTTTCCATTTTACCTTGGCGGGTAAACTGGGAGATGACACGCTAATTCGTTTTCGGTAGCGGGATAGCCATTTCATTGTTGAACATTCGAGCAAGGTAGTTTTTGGTGCATAATACCTGCGAGAAAATATTACGGCAATTTCGTTCTCGAGGTTGAAATTGCGGAATATAAGAGATACTAGAACCTAATATACGTAGGTATATACTTAAAACACAAAGTTGGCAAATCAATTGCATGCTATGATTTTTTTTAATCTTTATTTTATAATAAGGGCTTTTTTCCAAACAGAAGATTTCAGCCTACTATTGAATACAAAATTCAGTACTTACCTATCTACTCATAAAGCAGCTAAACCATTCATAGGTTTAACTAGCCCTTTAAGTTTAAACATAAAATAATTAGACGATACAATTTTTTGGCCTCTGATGAAAATGGTGACGCTAACACACTATGATAAAAACCAATATCATAAGTCTTAAAACTAAAAACCTGATGCTATGATTTTTCGTTACATTTGTTCTATTCTATAGCTTTAGAAGTTTAGACCAAAGAGTTCACAGACTGCAAAATTCACTAAAAGCAACCAGCACATGGTAAAGAAAATAAACACAAGAGCAGACCAATAAAAAAAACCCAATAGATACTCCAATACCAATCAATTCGTTTCCATACCTATGATAAAAACTAGGTAATATTAATGCACCCCTCACTCGAAGAAGTCGGAAATACGACAAATATGACATTGGGCGAGATGTCCCGATAGCTGAGGAGAGTAATAGGTAGCCATCACGGAAGCGATTACAATTGAACAACACGTTGGGGCCACGAGCATAGCGGAAAACGTTTATATAGTAGCCCTTTTTTCTTTTCTTTTCTTTCTTTTTTTAAAGAAACGTTGCCCCACACTACGATTTTCACCTGTGTCATGGGTGCGGTTACAAACATACAATTTCACATACATATGACACCCAGACCCGATATAACAATTTGTGGATTACACAAAGAGTTGTTCCGAGCGGCACGTTGCACGGCAGCCAGTTGCCCAGCCACCGCACCAACCATGCAGTCGTATTGGTGTGTAGTTTTATGTAGAGATTTTGTGGTTTTTGAACGATATTCAATAATTACACGTAATGCCAAGCAGTTCGACTATACAATAAAGAAAAACTTGTAAAAAACTGAACATAATCAAAAGAATCGCGGATTTCAGTCGAATTTGAAACCACCATTTAATAATTTTTGTATATATTAGATATTTACAATCGTGAGACATACAAAGGTAATTTAAAATATCGACTTATCAGTTAAATTAACATACAAAAGTTTTACTAATTTTGAGTCATAACGGGACCTTTTTTCTAAGCAGTTGCAATTTGAAAGGAATAGAGGTTTTTTCATTTAATTCACATGTTGTGTCGATATTTGATACTTACTACTTTTTAACTTATTCGTAATAAACGGTCTGTTCCAAGGCTTTCACTAAATCGCTGCTCTCATAGCCCGACGCAAAATTTTATCAGATTAAAAGCGAACACAAATAAAAGGCAAAAATAGTAAGATTTATGTGGATACTGCCAGTGGTAGCGACTGAACCATCCGTCATAGTCCAGGGACGTTAAATGAGCAAACATTTGCCTAATACATTACCTACAGGAAGGTTGCGGTTTCAGGCAAAATATTTACCAAGTGCTTTGGGCCACTTTAATCATTTTTCGGTAACTGAATCTGTTTGTATTGGATGGTATGAATTTAATGGCGGACTTTTAATTTCACACACTTTCATACATTATTTAGTCATATGTAAGTATATGGCGTGTACAAGTCAGCACTGAATATGAAGATGAAAGTTCGGTAAACGAAATAACGTAGTAGTAATGACGGCAAATTCATAATTGCGTATGCTAAAACAAATGATTTACACCGGGTTTCCGAAAGGCCGATCAATGTTAAAATCAATTTAATCTCTTGTCAAGTCATCTGATTGGTTGACTGAATTATCAACAACCAATCAGATGACTTGACAAGAGATTTAACAGGAGATTAGTTAATTTTAGCGTCGACAAGCCTTTCAGAAACCGGGTGTAAATCTGCGTTTACGGAATTGAAAATACGTTAATCGAAAAGCGAATGTATTACCAATGCAATATAAGTCCAACTCCTGTGAAGCTTAATAAATTATGTTCGAATATATATTTCAGGGTTCATCAGTTCCGTGACACAAAATGGGGAGGGGCAAGGAACCAGAGGTGCCGTACACAAACCCTGTGGAAGCCAAGAAGCACCGCGACGAAGCCTCGGGACACATCAAGAACGGCAACTATGATCGTGGACTCAATTCACTAGCTAAGGTACTAAATGATAAATACTTGATTTACATAACCTCAGCCGAGTTTGCGGGCGCAACAGTGTACTGGTGCCCTGGAATGGATTGACCTTTTGTTAGACTCTGACACTCGCCCTAGTGATTGGATGTAAATCGCCCTCAAATATAAAAGACCTACATTACTAAACGAATATGGAGTGGATAGTAATGGAGTCTATAGGAAAAAAACTAGCTAAGTAATGTTTATTACTATTACAAATGGCTCGCCCACCACACCTTTTTGTTTTGTGCAAGTGCCAAATGTAAAGAGCGAAGTGCAAAGAGTCCATAAAAAAAATCTAAAGAGGTTCGTCAAGATACTTTATTTTTTAAACATCATTACGCTTAATGATATTATCCCGTAGCAGAGCGTTACGCTACTTCTTGTTCATGTGTATACCTATATAACACTAACATTAAATGAACTAGAGTTCATTTAGATACCCGGCTTCTAAGCCGGGTAAAAAAAGGTAATAGTGAACTTAATGGTTGAAAACTAAATAAATTCACTCTTGTAAAACAGTTTGCATATTTTATCATTAGTAACATAACATATGGTGTATGTATGTTAAAAATAATTCTTAAATATTGTAAGTACTTACCTAAAACCTACCTACCTTTGAAAACTAGCTGCATAGCTTTGTTCATTTGTATTCTAATAATGAAAATTAGGGGTTGGTTAAATTTAAATTGTATAAAATGATAGTTTAGTTCCGTGTTTTGGTGCAAGGGACCGCACCCAGTAATTTATGCGAATTACGTTAGTGTGATTAGATATGTTGATTGCAGTTTTAGAAACGTTTTAATTTAAGATTTATGTATATAGGTATTGTTAATGGTTACTGTACCGGATAGGTAGCGTATTTCACTTATTATAAAGATAGCATACCTACTGCTTCTACAGACTGTATCTATATCCGTAGATATATTCTGAATTATATTTATGAAATATCATTCTTATTCTTACTTTTCTGGTATTGAAAGACAAATCTGCCAATATGTTCATCCTTAAATAAATACAACACAGCGGTACTTTACGTCGGCCAAACAGTAGTGTCAAGAAGTGGGTGCGAAAACACATTCAGTCACCATGACAACAACAGCCGAGGCGTCGATACTGACGCCTTTCCACACACCTACGTTACATAACCCCCAAAGGACATAGGATAAACTCTTCATGGATTTCGATAACGCCAAAGCTCAAGCCAGGTCCATCTTAGGACCTACGAAGGATGCCGAGTTCCTTCAGAGCTTCGTCCGAGTCGGTATAGGCGATGAAGAAGAAGAAACACCCGTGCAGAAAGCCTCAATCAGTAAGAGAGCGCCACACTCTGCTGAACTGGAGGTCGAAGATGAGAAACAAGCTGTCAAGGAGAGAAAGGAGTCGGTCAAGCCGAAGAAGAAATGGAAGAGAAAGCCAAAACGAGAGAGAAGGCGAAGGGAAGAGGAATTGTACACGGACAAGGATCGAGCTGCTGCAGTAGTGATGGGCTCGAAGGACATCAAGCAGTCTTTGAACTTAAAGGATAAAGCTGAACGTAGTAGCGCTCTGCAGCTACCTGTTGAAGCTGACGCCGGCACGCTACTAGCACTCGCTAGAGCTGAGATGATGAGAGAACGTTACCGTACCGCTGTGTTGTTCGTCAATAAGGTAGAATTTAGGGTGATAATATTCGCGCAAGACGATTAAAGTAACCGCCGGAATCTGGTATGCATGTATATCTAAGATGAATTAAGTGCGAGGATCAATTCTAAGACAAAATCGTGTTCAGTGAATTGTAGACCATTAAAGTAGTACCGTAATTATCATAATCATCATCGGTTCATGTTCATACCATCTTCATTGATAATACGCCACTGAATTAGAATTTCCAAAGTAAAAGCTCCTAACATTAAATTTTTGTAATTCCAGGCCATTGAACTAGCTCCTGATGAGAAAGCAGCCTACGTTGCTCGCAGCAAATGTTACCTCCTTCTTGGTGAGCCTCGCTCAGCACTGTTAGATGCTGAGGCAGCCCTGAAACTAGACCCTAAGGATGCTAAAGCCCTACTTCGGAAGGCAGAAGCTCTTTACTATTGTGGAGAGTTTGAAATGAGTCTAGTTCACTATCATCGAGGATTGAGGGCCAGGCCTGACCTGAATGACTTCAGACTTGGAGTGCAGAAAGCTCAGGTAACCATTTTATCCTGCCACTTACATACTACTACTTAGATACCTTTATGTGATAGAACGGCAAGTGGACGTGCGGATTACCTAATGGTTCTGTAACCGGAGACCAATCCTTCCCCAAGCCTTAAATCCCCAAAACCTTAATTCTCAGAAAACCGGCAACGCACTCGTACATCTTCCATTGTTGCGGGTGTCCATGGGCGGCGCTGATTGCCTACCATCAGGTAATCCACCTGCAGGGTTGCCGTCCTATCACATAAAAAAATCATTATTATCAATTTAACACAGGATAACTCGAAGACGCCTCCCGTGCGATGCCATCCGCTGCTCGGCTCCTACTGATCGCAGTCTGATGTTCTATAGTTTATAGCATGCCTAATAGCCTTCCTAGATAAGCATGGTTCAATTCAAAACATACAAACTCCAGCTTAGTAATATTAGTATAGATGGCATCATGCAAATCAATAACTTGTCAATAATTTTATTTCCAGGAAGCTATTGAAAACACCATAGGGGCAGTCAAAGTGGTGAAGAAAGCTCCGAAGAAGAGATCAAAATCTGCGAGGCCTGTGCTGGGACAATTGAACTCCGACAAGATCTATCTTGAGAACTTGTTGAAGAATCCTGATTTGGCTATTGCAGACAAAAAGAACGACGTAGTTATGAGGCAGGCTGAAGAAGCTATCAGATTCTTGGAGAACCGCGAAGAGTTCTGGAGACAACAACAGACTACAACGTAATAATTTTAATTAAGACTAACTATAAAGTTTTATTTTGTCGTTGGAAAAAGTAAGTATCTATGTGTGTTTGAACAAATGTAAATTATAATTTTATCTTTTTTCAGTATCAGTATTGAGTAAAACAACGATGGATAGTTGGATACTAATGCATGAACAGATTTTTTATTCAGTTGCTTGTAGGAAACTAAATAGATACATAGGTGTAACAAAAACTATTTTCACTTTTCAGTGTTAGACTTTTGGTTGTCCTTAGGTGAAATAGAATTAAAATAAATATATTAACTTAAATATAACCGTCGTTTGATTTGACTTTGGAATTAAAGTAGCCAACATTTAAAATAACATAGGTAACTAGAAAAATAGCTAACGAACTTTTTTGTGGAGGGAAAATTAATATTAAATCGTCAAAATGAATAGTAAATTGACATTTAACCAATTGGGTAGTTTCCTAGGTCAAAAATAATACAATACAATAAAATATTGAAAAATAACTAAGTACTTATAGTACTTATAGTCCTACTTGTATTCATCGATCGATCGATTTTAGATATTTTTAGGTACTTATCTAATTTTAAAGAAATAGTAAACTATTTGACGCAAAAAAACTATGACGTCATAACTCAATTTTTCATACAAATTTCATAGAAAAGTATCTTTTCGAAATTTGGATAAAAGTATTGAATTTGACTAGTTGGAAACTACCGTATTTCATTTGCCGAGGTACCTAACGCAAAACCACTTACAAATAAACAATAAAGTAACGATAATACCTCTTCACCGTTCACCCGAGAAGGACCGCAGGGTTTTTATTCAGTAAGAGTCTGACACTCCGTAAACTACCGCCATATTTTTTTGAGTCAGAGCTCGTGTCACTGTGGCTTGTGTATCTAAACGCCGCGCGAATTCGCGTGTACACGCGTACTTGCGCGCTTTTTCATGTAAAAGGGTTGTATAACGATATGTTCTCGTCTATTAAAAAAATATAAGTAAATAAACTAAAATTTGGTAATTAAAATCAATAAAACAGTAAAGGTAATGGCAGCAAATATAATTATATCTCTGGTGATCTGGTGATCTGATTTCGGTTACTTTGATTAGCAAGAACCACTTCCATTGAGGTAATCCAAGTAGTCTTGCAGAACTGGTTTACAAATAGCCACATTTTCTGCTAGCGCTTCACACGAGGGGGTACTATAGAACTCTTGACAACCCTGTGGAAAGAGCGATATTATTAGGTCGAATAAAAATTTAGATATTTGTTACTTTATTGTGTTTAATACAGTACATCTCCTGGCCATAACCATATTATTTTATTGTGTAGTACCTAGTGAGTTTATCACGAAAGAAACAGACAGCCAGGCTATTTGGACTGTTTTAATACTTATGTTAGTAAAGATTTATTGTGTAACTTACCATCAGCGCGTTAACGTTGGCACAGAGTTCAAACTTGTTATAATCGCAATAAGTTTCACTAGTAACGTAGTCAAAATACTTATCGTCCAAACAGTTTTTTGTTATCTCATCAGTCAATGGCTTGGTCTCCGGACTAAACAGGTTATATTTCCAAAACGCCGATTTAACCATCTCTGGGTCTATTACGTTAGTTTTTCTATAGCGCAACTTGGCTGTCACACATCTTGATACGTAACACTGTTGGGGTGAAAAAGGAATTATTATTACTTCTTTAAGAAGATGACAAAGCAATACATTATATTTTTTGAGTTGTTGAGTTGAATTAAAACCGAGCAACGAAGAGTACCACAATCACATTTCTGTTGTATCTATCTATGGAAATCCTCTTAATTTTTTTTTTATGGTAGTTGTTATGGCGGCAACAGAAATAAATCACCTGTCTTTAAGTGTATCACAGTTAATGGGAAACGACTTCCTGATAGTCTACCGAATAAATGGGCGCACGAATAAATACGGAACCCTATAATAATTAACTAAAGTAAAAATAACAATTAAGACTTTCCTGCTGATACCTAGTATGTCGTAGAATATTTACCTATAAGTAATGAAATCGAGGTAGTTACAAAAACTTACAGTGAATTCAAAAGTGCTATGGGTTCTCATGCATTCGTTATGCGTTTCTATATACCCTTCCATAGGAGCACAGCAAGTCTCTTCCATATTCTAAAACAAAAATATAATTGGATTGAGTATCGGTAGGCTGGTAAATGGTTGTAAATTTCTATTTTTTTATTTCATTTCTATTGTTTTTTTCTCTAGTACCATTGTACACATTAATTTATCTATATTTATTATTTACTAGCTCCCGCTAGTGGCTTCGCCTGCGTGGTGTGTTGATAAGAATCAACCTATAGCAATAGAAAAAATCGAAGTATACATAAAATTTGTTATGATTCGTTTCATTTTTTTCGTACATCTCCAATGGGTAAATACCCTATTACTAACTAAGTCTCAATTATCCGTCTGTCCATAGATAGAATGGTACGGATCTAACTATTAGGAAGTATTACAAATATTCCATAAAGCCTAAATTATATTATACTAGCTACTCCCTAGCGGTTTCACCCGCTGCTCGGCTCCATTTTATTGTAGCGTGATGTTTTATAGCCTAAGTATAGCACTGGGGAACATTGCTATATTATATTTTAAACCACGTCGCGTCGAGCGCGGCAACCGTTACACAAAATAGTCCTTATAGCATGATTCAGTGTTCACATGCGACGGCGCGATTACTTATTAACCGAACTGCTAAGCTATCAGGAGTTACACGTGCTATTGTGAGTTAACCATAAAAGATAGACATATGCTGTAGAACTAATTTTTTTAGATAACTTTATGTTGAATATTTTCGTCATACACAATCTCTATGTAACTTTAACCATTAAGGCTACACACGCGACGGAAACATAAAAAAGAGAGTTACTTCTCCCGTTTTCCCAACATTCCCCTTTACTGCTCTGCTCCTATTATTTGTAGCGTGATGAAAAGTATCTTATGACCTGCCCAGGAGTATAAAGAATAATTGTATCAAGTTTTGTTAAAATCCGTCAAGTAGTTTTTGTTTCTATAAGGAACATACAGACAGACAGACAAACAAAAATTTTACTGATAGTTAGTTATTTTGAAAATATATTTAATGTACAGAATTGACCTCTCTACAGATTTATTATAAGTATAGATCACTTTAGGTAGGTAGGTAGGTATCCTTGTTACATTTTTATAGGATATGAGCAGGCGGATAATCTGATGTATGATGGTAAGCCATCAGATTATCCGTCTGCTCGTCAGCCATCTCTATGTAGGCTCCGCAACACATTTCCACGGCATCATACCTCTGTAAATACATAATATTTGGCTTACCTCTGGGTTAAACACCTCATCACAAGCCGCAATTTGACTATCGTCCAAACATTCACCATTTACACGATCCTTAAATTTAATCAAGTAAGATAATAAATTGTCAAAATAAAAATTTCATTCAGCAATTACAAAAATATAATCTCTTACTGTACATGTTCCAAGCAAGATAACTGCTAAACCAAAACCGATTATACGGAAACTCATCGTGCTTCGTTGAAGAAAGAATACAGTGTAGTAACATAAATACATCCTAAGCGGCAGAAAGTTATTTAATTTATTACTTTCCTTAACGTATTTCAAGTTAACTATGCCGTAACGAATAAATATAATAAAACAAAAGTAAAAACAAATGAAATGGTTATAAATACTCGGCTATTCATTTTATATTTATAGCGGCCATGGTCTAATAATATTATACTTGGCTCTGCTAAGCCAAAGTAATTACTAAATCAAATCTTACTAATATTATAAATGCGATAGTTACATAGGACCTAGGCTACTGTTTATCAATATACCACGCGGGCAAAGCTGCAGGCAGAAGCTAGTTACTTATACAGCAGCTAGTTTGTTTGTTCGAAGTTTCTCGATTTTATTATTGGAATATTTTATTATCTCTGACGCACAATGGTGATCTATTACTTTAACATAATTGTTTTGGACAATAAATTAAACAAAAGCATATTAAAAGAAATAACATTTATTTTGTTCCGACGGCTTCGATCTGATCGCCAAATTCCAAAGTATGAAATAGTTCGTCACCACGAGAAGCGACAAGGCCCGCACACTTCATCATAAAAATAAAATCGCTCACTCTATTATCCGAAACAGACAATATTTCTATGTCACTCATATTTACATTTATTTACACACAACATTATGAATCACATAAAGACTATCTCAAAATTGGAGATTTATACAGTTCAATGTAACATAATTTCATATCAACTTAGCATTTAGTTTGACGACAAACTTATGTTTGGTTTTGTTCCGCAACCGAGGTTGCGTTCAACTATAACTACGGCTCGCTTATAAACTAATAGTCAGTATTCTCGAAAACATATATCTGCACTGCAAAAGCACATACAGTAAGCGAAAGCAATAATTCTTACTACAATAAATCGTGAAAAATTCAATTGGTATTAAATAGGAAAATCTCATTGTCTCCTTCACAAGAATCAATGTATTGCGTCATTTAGACATTGGCTAATAAATCTTATTTAATCACCAATATATTATAATTAGGTAATAAAATATTATAATTATTGTGTGAGAAAGCTAGCTAATTTCTCAGACTGAAATCTAAAAGGGATTAGCCCTTGAACACTTGAAGTAACTTACTCGATATTAAAGAACTACTTTGAAAAGATTTTATGGATACATGAAAAGGAACTTCCCTAGCAAATCATCATCATTGATACACATTAGTACAGAAAAGAGATTTAAAATAAGAAATTCTAAAATTTTATTATGATTAATAGAATTCAGTCTAAAATATAGCAAAGCTAAAAAATTTCATGATAGTGAGGGGAACATCTCGACATTTGGAATAGAAAAATTGAACTAACTACACAATTAGTAGAGTGTGATCAACCAAACACACCAGTAAACAACTGTCCATTATATTTAGTAAAATCTATTTTTATAATACTGTGTACTTAAACCGTTGCAGTTCATTATTCGAGTTGCGTTCGCGTATTGTCCAGCAAAACTCCAGAGATCATAGTATAAACATAAATACTTTCTCTTGCATTAGTCCCGTGGACATTTAATAAAATACATGTCAAAGCACAGAATCACGTAATTTACAATATACACTAAAGAGGTGTTCCTTAAAAACAAAAATACAAACTATATGGACTTACACTATATTTACAGTATAGTTCAGTTTTTATTTTCTATGCAGTACATGTTGCACATACTCGACATCTCTTAATTCTTATGTCCCACAAAATCATTTACGATCCCAAAGACGGAGGTGTGACCGTCACAAAAATCATTAATCACGTGTAATTTTCATTGTCATTAATTAAAATCAGTGTTAATAAATTAAATAGTGGTTATGTTCACTGTTACATATCAGTCCGTGAGGTGAGAAGCTATAAAATCACTGCCATTGCTAGTGAGTTTAAAATATAAATTTGTTGTACATCAGTAAATAGACTGATCAATATACTAATATGTAGTGTTCAGTGTGAAATTTCTGTAAAGTCACTTAAAACTAGACTTAGCACTGTCTGTCACTATTTGTTTAACCAATCTGCGCAGGTGTAACATTTTTGTTATGTATGTTCATGTTAGAGGCGTCCCAAACGCTAGGTATTTGGCCGGTTCGCGGCCTTCCTGTGCTAATCGATCTCCTCCGGAGGGCGATTGTAAACAGGTCCAAACTTAGCCATATACTTCCTCACGAACATCTTAGCTTTTGAGCGCACTGAGTCAGTCACTACTAGTTCTTCGACTGATCGACAATGCTTTAGCTCTTTAAGCATCACGAAGTGTGTGAGCTGGAATAAAAACATATATCATTACAATAATGATACAAATTGAAAGTCTCTGTAAATGGAATCCATTTTGATACTGCTACTAATTAATAATGTAATTGCAGTATACAACCCTTTATCCACAAAAAAGGATAAAATTCACTTTTGATTTAGGATATATACGAGTAGCACGCACCTTTCTAGCTAAATGTTTGAAGTCGGCCGTGCAGGTGATTCGTGCGGCGGGTGCGTCGGGATGCCTGTACGGGTTGAGGTGCTGCACCATGACCCGCGCCATGCTGCAGCGGAACTGCTCCTTGATCCTGCGCGCCGCGTCCTCCGTGCTCGCCGCGCCCGCGCCTTCCGCAGCGGGCGGGGACGGAGCCACCACTACGGGGGACGGAGACGCCTCCAACATACCCGACTTCTCGATTGGGTTTTCTTGTACCGGCGCCGGAGTCGTTTCTTCGGTCGATGAGTCTTCTGAATCAGTCTCCGAATCGACTAATTCCACCATTTGCTGTTTATACAAAATAAGAGTTTTAATATTTTGCCATTACAATGTTTATGAAAATGGAATACGTTAAAAGTAAAGAGTTATGATAAATCAGTGTAACGCATTTTGTTCAAGTGCATTTTATAAGCAATACCTAATATATAAATGTAAAACAGAAATAAAACAGTGAAAATGCTGACGGATGAGTGTAGGTAATTTACAGACGTGAATTACGCTACTAAGAAAGTGTTTAAATCCAGCCTTCAAGCGAATTAACGATGACGGCCGACGGCAGGGGGTAGGTGAAGCATGCTTGAATGTCTTATAATGTTTGTATAATATGACCTATAATGCTAAGGGTCCCTTCGCATTGAGAAGTAGTCTAATAGACACGGATGCATTTGCGCATCAACGCGTACGTAGACACAGAATGCGAGGACACTCTTATCGCCGACGTCGATTGATACCTTTAATTCAAGCTCATTTTTCTTCAAAATTTCTTTCTTCTCAATGTATATGGTCTCAATCTCCATTTTCTTCGATATTTCTTTTTCAATAACTCTCTCTTTTTCGCTCTCTAACTCTTTTTCCACATCTTTGTCCTTCTCTTTATCCTTTTTGGTTAGCATTAACAGTAAAACGTGAAGTATGAATCAAGCAAGAGTATTAGCATGTTTACAACAATTTCATTTTTTTTTTCAATTAGATTTTTTACTTATATTAGATTAAACTTCATATTATAAATAAACCCTTGATTAGAAAAAAGGCAAAGTTAATGTTCATAGAAATATCTAGACTTTACCTTTAAGTCCAACACGCTGCCCTTGAATCTCCGTTGCGATTTGTTAGCGGCGAGCAGTCGCACCTTTTGTAATATTTTCTCTCGACGCCTGCGCAACTTCTCCTTCGTCTGCTTATACCGCTTCACTTCTAGTCTTCCTGCAAGCTTGTCTTCTTCTGTCCTTGGCTGAAGAATGACAAAGAAAATTATAGACAAAGGATAAGATTCCTAAAAAAACTTCGTAACAGCAGTCGTAGAATGGCAATACCATGTTGCCATGATTATTATTAAATTTTATTAGTTTAACTGTTTTGTTGACAATATATTTAATTTAAATGTTTAGTAAGTATATACTTACACTAATAGGTCTTTCGGAGACCAGTCCAGGTCTTCTTTTCCTTGGTTTTAGGCTGACAAGCGCATGGTCGGGAATAAGGCCGTTATGACCTTCCTCTTTGATAACTGTAACCATACAGAAACAGGCACTTTAACAAATTGCTTGTTATAATTATTCAAAATAGGACTATTTCTACTATTATCCTAACAATATGAAAATGTAAAATGAATCTTGAGTGAAGCAGAGCTGGAACTATTCTTTAAGATCTTCTTCAGGAATTAAACAAGGACTGTGGACATTTTAAGCACATGATTATCAACAAAAACAATGAAATGATTGTGTCATGAGTCCATCTGTGAACGAAAATATAATAAACTTATAAATACATACAGTCAGTCTCCCCACCTTCGTAAATGCCATTGACTCCTTCCACGACTTTCCCTTTGGTCTGCCGTCGCACGAGAGGACTGTCCAGGCCCGAAGACGGTTGCTCATCCTCCTCCTCTGACGAACTCTCTTCTGTAGAAATACGTACTCATCATAAATTGTACAAAGATAGTTCGTTATTGGAGGATTCGCAGGAAACAACACAAGGGAAATAAAATACGGTAATTTCCAACTAGCCATTAGCCAAATTCAATACTTTAATACAAATGTCAAAAAACAATACTATCTATAGTATGTTTGTTTAAAAGTCCAAATTATGTCATCATAGCATTTTAGAGTCAAATATCTTGCTTAGTTCTTAAAAATTGGTTAAAAAATATTGAAAATTTAGTGTATCGACAGAATGATGAATAAACTATAGTCATTTTTCAATATTTTATTGAATTGAAAGGCCGAATCGATATATATTTGACTACCCAATTACAGTGATGATAAAAATTCGTATACTGGTAATATGTAAAAGAAGAATATAAGAGATTTTTCAGGCATTTATATCGTACATACCGGGCTCGGTGGGCAGTGGAGGAGGCAGCCACTGTGGTTGTCGCAGCTTGACGTGGTAGTAGTATGTCCGCCCGCGGGGGTCCGTCGCGCTGCGCCACAGGGACGGCAGGACTATGTCCTTCAGATCCTCCGTCGGCCCTGTGGCCGCTGCAGCCTAATATGACGAAAAAACATTTTTAACTTATTTAGTGACTTATCCTGGGTGTGGGAGAGCCATGCTTCGGCACGAATTCGGCCTAACAGAAAGCCGGCGTGAAACAACCACATCGTTGTGTTTCGCCGTGTGAGTGAGGTTACTGGAGACCCAATCTTTCCCCTCCCTCAATCACCAAATCTCTAAATTCCTAATCCCCAAAAGGTCGGCCACGCACTCGTTGGCGGCGCTGATTGCTTACCATAAGGTAATCTATCTGCTCGTTTGCCGATCTATTATATAAAGAAAAACTCTTTCATATAGTCAATACAATGATTCCGTTTTGTGCTAACATTTTATATTTAGTTTATATTTTTAATTGGTTTGGAAGATCCATTCAGTGTCATAAAAGCTTAAAACAAGAAAAATATGTAGTATCCCCAATGAAAAGTGGAATGACTGGGGTTCCAAAAAAAAATAGATTAAAACTACGTACACAATAAAACTAATCTAAAGTACTCACAGGTTGTTGTTGTTGTTGTTGATCAGGTTGCGGCTGTACTTGTGGGAAAGGAGGTTGTCCAGCAGGGCCCACTTGTTGGCCAAACATAAACCCACCCATTGGGAAACCGGGCATCCCCATCATACTGCGAAAAACATCAATAATTTTCACTTGAATTATATCAGTAATCTAGAGCATATTATTTTCATAACATTTAATAATTGTGGACTTCAATATGTAGTCTTTTGGTGACAATCTATTCAAAGTCATAATCATGGGAAACTGATAAAATAATATCTGGCTCCTTGGTCCAATATTGAGGCTTGATTGTTCAGTTTTCAACTTAAAGACATGTAACATATGTTTTAATTTTTTTACATAGAATTGAAATCAAGAACTCACTTGGCTTGCGGCATACAGAAAGGCGGGCAGAAGGGTGCTGGAGGGAATTCGTGAGACATCCAGTCCGCGGGCATGTCAGGCACCAGGCCAGGCACTCCGCATACCATGCCACCCATGTTGCCCATGTTGTTCATATTACCCATATTACTCATCATGTTGGGGCCACCGGGGACCATACCACCAGGGAACATTTGCTGCAAAGAAAATAATGTCAAAAATTTCTTGGATGGTAATTTTCAAAATTATCCTCAGCCTGATTTCATCCACAGCTGGTCATATGCCTCTCTAAATGCACATCACCGGACTCGATGTTGTGCTTTGCTCAACCAATAACTGCCAGCTACCCGTATATCGTCGTCATCTAAGTCGATCCTGGAGAACGCCCTACACTGTATGCCTAGACATGATCTGCACTCCGGAACACAAAAATTAAAGATGGATTTACTTTATAAATATGTGGATGCTAAGTAAATGTGACAGGTACATTATGCAAATAGTCTGAATAAAGTCCTTTCTTTAGAGGATATTAAATTGCAAAGTTACCTGTTGGAAGGCGTCAGCTTGTGGCCAATAAGCAGGCCAGTGCTGCATACGTTCCCGCTGTCTCCGCGACTCGTCCGCGGCCGCGGCCGCCTCCGCGAAGGCGCGCCGTCGTTCCTCCTTCGTCATCGGTGGCACTGCGGCCAGTACACGCTCGCTTAACCTAGGAACATGCATGTACTTTTAATAAAAACTCGTGTAAAATTCGTCAATTGGATTTAGTTAGAATAATCGTGAAGAAGCAATCTTAAATAAAGCATACCGTAACAGTTACAGATGACGCATCTGCGCAATATTTATTAAAATCTTTATGCTAAACAAGCTTGGAACTGCATATAAACCATGCTTATGTTTACTAAGTAAAAATTACAAAACAAAGTCTAACCTGATACTCCGCCTACCCTCAGGACTGCTCCTTCGTTTCCTCCTGTCTCTATCATCTCTATCTCTATCCCTGTCTCGGTCTCTATCGCGATCTCTGTATCTATCGCGTTCTCGTTCACCGCGGTCTCTCTCCCCACGTTCTCGATCGCTTCGCTCTCTATCCCTGTCTCGTTCCCTTTCTCTGTCCCTTTCTTTTTCCCTCTCACGCTCCCTCTCCTCCCTGCGATCCCTGTCGCGTTCCTCCCTGCGGTCGCGGTCCCGATCGCGCGACCCACTCGAATCAGCCGCTCGCCTCTCCACGTTGGCTTGCCTTTCGTGCTCTTTCATTTGCTGTATTCGTTCTTTTTTCGGTATTTTGAACACTTCCTACAAATATACAAATAAGGAATTTGGAATTCTTGTTTCTATTGAAGCACCCATATTTATAGTACAAAAATGTGTGTTTTGATATAAATAACATTATTCTTTGAATTAAATGTACCTACCTTCAAACTAGACCATCGTTCCAACAATTGACTTGATAGATCCTTAATCTTCTCTAGCATAACTGCATTCTCTTTCACCTTTTCTGGACTTGATATATTCTCTTGACTATTTCTGGTTGGTAGTTCTACAGGTAAACCTTTTAAAATAATATGATGATAATGAAAGATGTTTCATTTTATTTTAAGTTACATATCTCTATTTGTCGTTCAAGCAGAAGGCAAAAATGAAACTCAGTTACCATAAAGATTCTATGGGCAAATGCAACATCATCTTCACAATATATAGATAGGTGAATAGTTAATGTAACATTACCAGTAGCCTCATCAATGAACACGTTGTCGGGCGGTGGCTGCGGTGCCTCGGCAGCGCTCAACCATCGCTCCACGATTGTGAAGAATCGACTCTCTTGTACCATCGTCTTGTTGGGGATCGGTAGTCGGTCCACTGTTTGCAGCATTTCTAGCCTAAAACAGAATCATTTAATTTTAGCTTAGAGTATTGACGGCTTTAGCTAAATGCCTTTGAAATGCTTTTTTTAATTGCCATGGTTGGAAGAACTAATCACGACGATATCGTATGTCGATGGTAGCAAAAAATTAGGAATATTATTAAAGAATGCTTTGGTGCTTGTAGTCGTGCTGCCTAATATTTGAATAATCCAACATATAATGTCTCAGAATTGGGCAAATCCTTTATTACTTTGTATAAATATTCTCGTAATTAATCTTAAAATCCCCATTAAATCTATTAGAGTTAATCGACTACTAAATCGACAATGTTAGTCACCAGTCTAAGGATACTCATATTTACTTACTTGAAATCAAGTGGAGCATCACTGCACCATGGCGCCAGCAACCTAAGACCTCTGTAGTCAAGGAAAAGTCTTCTGCAAGGAAGGTCAGCGTCACGCAGCAGTCGCAGTAACGCAGTTTGTGCTCGCCGTGTCTTCGCGCGGACCACAGTACGTGAGAGCCGAAGTGTATGACTCTGGTTCTTCACGCCGGTACGGCCCAAGGCTTCCAAATCCTCTTCAATCTGAATTTACAAAAAATCAAGAGTTTAACAATGAAGCTGGTCGTCATAACTTAAATATTAGGCTAAAAAAAAATTGTAACATACAATTTAATTTGATAATTAGAAATTAGAATTATTGGTAGAACCATTTTTTTTTTATTTTAACCTGTAGAATTATAGTAGCATTTTCATTGGTACAAAAATGTCTTGTCCAACATTATTGGATGGTTACAAAACAGTGTGACAACTAAGTAAATATAAAAGCTTACATCAGCATCTTGCACCAAGTCTGGAGCTTTGGGTTTGTAGGTGCGGTCCTTCTTGGGTCGCCGAACTTTTGGTCGGGGCTGCTCTGTTGGTGTGGCATGAGACTCCTCTGAAGACTCCGTTGTACCAGACTTCGAGGTAGACACATCTTCCTCCTCCTAAGTTGATTAAGAAATTTAGATGTGTTCCTGATTTTACATGATAAAAGCTTTTCCTAAATTATTAACCATGAACAAATAACAGCCTAATCTGATTGGAACATAAAACATTTATGATACATGCATTTTTCTGAAGCAATAACTTAATTATGATTTTTTTTTCACTTTTATTGTCATCATGCAATACAATTTCGGTTATTTTTATTATAAAGATGATAGATCGATAAATGAAAGAACGTCGAAACTGAGAAATATAGAATGAATAAAAGAAATCAAAACCATTTCCTTTTTTCACTTCTAATACTGAAAATCTTCACGTTTCCCATGTTTCTAGATACACAAAAAAGTTTGTATACCTTTAAAACAGCTATGATTAGTCACACACTCGTCAAATCTGCATGCGAAAAGTAAATAAAATGTGCTTATATACCGTTATGCGTCGTACCTCGTCATCTTCATCGTCGGAGTCCGGCTCGCCCCCAATCCAGCCGCGGCAGTTGTCAGCGCCGCAGTAGCATCGCTGCGCCACCTTTCTGCATGTAAATAACACATCTCTGTTACCCACCAATCACCAATACACCCGCTGGAACCGATAATCCGTTTTGTCAGATATGTGCTTATTATAAGTCTGTGTATAATTTTAATCAATTTAATGGCTAAATATTACCTAAAACTTTACTAAGAAGTCACTGCTATTCACAGACTCTACATATAACTCAGACTTACTAGTAACACAGTTATTATGTTTTATTTATACTTAATAAATTCCAAGGTTGCTACATATCCGTGAGGCATACACAAAGTGTATTCATGTTGAATTAATTTAATAAAATTCTGTTTCTGTGGCTATTTGTGTTCCGTATTTATCAGCTAGTCAGCTAGTATATAAAAGTAATATATCCTTAGACAAAGCTTATAGAGTAGTATACATAACAGAGCCAAAGATATGTATAGAATTTTATATTTGCAACACACACACTTTTAAAATTTATTCAATCTAAATATTTACAACACTTTTAAAGTCATGTGTGAAAATTGGAATGATAAGTTGTAAAGTTAAAAGATCTACTTACCCAAACCTCTGGAACTGATAATCAAATGTGAGTTCTTCTCCAGCTACAATGTCCCTCTTGCTGAAGAATCCAATCCGGAGCTCACCATTCACAGTCCACTTCTGTGTTTCAGCATTGGGGTCACAAGAATGGTTGATGAAACGTGATATGTTGCCTTTGAGTGTCGCATCAATGACCGTGTCGCCCTTCAGTGACATGAAATAGTGGTGCAGGTTGTTCTCAGCCGAATACGCCTGCGCCCGCTTGTAGAATTGCTCGTAATCAAGCACTTCGCCCACATATTCGAGAAGAAATTCGCCCCTAGAAAATTAATTAATCAATGAATATTACTGTTTATAATAATTTCACATTTCAAAAGTAGAAAATCCATTGTCATGTTGCATTTTATTATTGGTAACCAAAATAGAAACTTATTCGTTGAATATTAGGAAATTATATTTATAAACAACTAGTTGTGCCCTGTGGTATCACTCACATAGTATAGCCTTTGTTCACCAGAGATAGTCTAACCTATTAAAACAGTCAAATCATTCCTTTTTGTAATATTTTAGTATAAATAAGTAGTACATCTCAACACAAACATGTGATTCGAACTTCGCAAGGCATTATAATTTAATTAGCTATTTGATTTTAACAAAGCCATTACTATTGTATTATTGATAAGAATTTTCGCAATTGCGGTATTTACTTACGCTGGGATATCAACAATAGCCTCCACACCACACCCCTTTTTGTCAGCATAGAAAACCTTAAGAGGTGCATTTTCTTTAGACTGGAATCTTCTGTTAGTACATCTATCGCCTACTGGACATCGCGAGTTACTGGAAATTAAGAACACCATGATATAGAGAATCAGATATCTTAAACATCTGAGACACAAAGTTATTAATTGAACACATTACCATTCAATCATGAGCAGTCTATTGAGGCAGTCCTCTCCACAAGCTAGTTCTCCTCTCTCCAATTCTTCTTTGGTCATAAAACAGTCACAAGTCATCTTTTTTGTCTCTTTACTAATCATCCGCTCACATAAATACTCATTTTCATCTAAATGTTGGTACTGGTTCATTCTCTCCTCAATTATTCTATCATAATCTTCTTTTGTCAAAGGAGGAGCATGTTGTTCTTCTTCTGGTAAACTAGGACACTCAGCAACTGGAGGTAACCGCTGTGGTAGACTAGGGCTTGCCAAAGGTGAGTTTGCAGGGGAGCCAGCACCCATCTCTAACTCACTAGACCTACGCCACCGAGACTTCACCTTCACAGGCATCTCAGAAGGCACAGGAAAGGAGGGGGAATTAGGTGTAGTACCTGGCAAAGACTCACTAGATTTTTCTTGACTATCAGATCCAATTTCTTCAAGTTTCAGTTTTGTCTGTGTTATCAAAGCCTTCTTTAATGGAGTTTTCACCAAACCATATCCTTTTGTTTTCTGTTTCATATTGCTTATTGTCTTAATACGACTGGATCTCCTAACACCAGTAGGAGAAGATTCAGCTGAATCATTAGAGTTATTCTGGTTTTGTTCTGCAACTCTAGATGAGTTACTATCATCTGAGAGTGTAGAACTTGGTGTGAGACTAGGATCTGGCCTTGTTAGAACTTCATTTAAACTTTCTTTATATTGCATTTCAGGAGTTAAACATGGTGAAGATGAGATCTCAATTACTTCTGAACATTCCATAGGAATGTTCGAATCTGATGTGGCAATATTTAACTTTTCAAAATGTTCTTGGAAATCGTGGTTTTGGGAATTGTCCTTACTCTCTTCATTATCAATTTGTTCAGCTATGTGCTCTTGTGGACTGTCAATCTTGATGTTGTAATAAAGCTCTGGGTGGTCATCTTCTACTATCTGAACAATTGTAATGACCTCATCATCATCATCTCCTGTGAACTCCATTTGTTCTTCTTCCAATGGAATGTCTTCAACCTGTATTTCTTCTATCTTTGATTCCTTGTAGGAATCATCAATAACTTGTTTGTCATGACTACTAGGAGTGGAGTCAGTTTCTAACAAATCAACAGTATTTAATTCCTCAGACTTTTCATTCGCTTCATCTTTGTTCAAAAGTGTTGTTTCACAAGTTGATGATAATTCAGTCAGTGCAGGTACAGGTGATATGTCTCTTGAATTGCTCTGTACTGTTATTGTACTATTTAACGGGCTTAAATTAGCTCCACTGTTAGTATCAGACTGTGTATCTAAAGCAGCATTGGAGTCTGACTCGGAGCTTGCACAAGGATCAACAACTCTTATTTCTACACTACTATTTGTTTCACTGTCACTACCAATATCATATTTTCTAGTGAATGTCTCATCATTATTAAATAAACATCGATATTTACCGAATTTCTTATGCAATGCTACGGTTGGTACTTGACAAGGTTTTGTAAGAGTAGTGCCTGGTGATTCTGATGTTTCTGGTGCCTCTGGAGCCCGCGACTCTGGAACAGTGGGTGCGTCGGTAGGTATTGGCTCTGTTGCGAGGCCAGGTTCCGAAGGGGGTGCCTCGACTGAACCAGAAGCTTCACCGTCAGCGACCGACGCTGCTTCGGCCTGCTGCTTAGCGCTTCGAGTCGTACGACGTGTTGCCACGGTTTTTGCTGCTGCCTTCTTTCTTTTCGCCATTGTACTATTTTAACGCAGCAACATACAACCTAAAAATGAAATTATTTTAAATCATAGATAGAATACAATCAAGCATAGTGACCTCTTACATTCGTTGTTGTTCCTCATTACTGTCAATGCCACATGGTTACAACAAAAATAAAAGATTTTATCCTCAATTGTGAATCCAGTAAACAACCCTAACTGTTATTTTCATTTGCTAGGTGCTCTGTTTTGAAACTCTTGTGATATCATGCAAGGAAGCCACCGGTTGGTATTGATGGTATAGCAACAACATTTCAAGATACAATTTGACTACATACCATTACTTTTTGGATGTAATTGTATTTCTTGTATTTACTGAAATACTATTAAATATGCAAAACAACTTGACTCTCTCACAAATTAAATGAAACAATAGTAACAAGTAAATTTCATTTTTCTCATTTTACTTCATTGCTTTTTTTTGTTGAGTACTACCATAGACTAGCAACTCAAAATGAACAAGGACAAAATTACATAGATCGGGAGTTCGGGACTCTAGAAGTAAAAAAATATGAGCATTCTTTACCACGCCGTGTTATGGTAGGATAAATATTAAAATAATAAATATTTATAGACCCTAACCACACAGTATTTGAATAATCGAAAATATTAACAGCTTCTCAAACAAACTATCTAGTGTATTATAAAATTAAATAGTTTAGTAGTGTCTATACTAAAGTTAAGGTCTTTTGGAAGTATTTTCTATTTCTTTTTATTTAGATTGGAAAACATAAATTATACAAAAAAACAACATAAAGAACTATTAACCAATTACAGGTTTTCATTTAGTTATCTATGAAGAGCATGCTTGATATCTAGACAAAAAAAAAATAGATTAGGGATATAATAAGCACCCAAAAAAACTACATTATTTTCAATCTTGAAATGCAAAATAGAAGAAATGTTTTGCAACTAATCGATTGAATAGGCGAGGCTTAGTAACGAATAAGTATTTATTTAACAACGGATGCAATTTCAACTTTCTGAAACCTTCTCTGTAACAAATGTTTTACGACGCAGATCCAGAAATAAATTTTGGCCAACAGCCTAAGAACTCCAATGTTATTAATGGCTCATACCTATAGCCTGACTGACAAAAATATTGAAATCTATTTTTTAAATAGCCCGAAAGTAAAGTCCAGTTGCATAGACTAAGCGCTACATTTATATGAACGCTATCAAAACGTTACCACGTATAGCTCTCTGTTTAGTTTAGGTAACATGAAGCAAGCCGATCGGTAGGCCAAAAGTCCTAAACATATCGATATCCCATTATCACTAGGCACTTAGGTATACATCTGAACTAGACGCAAACCAATAACACATCCGAGCTAACCGTGCGCATCCTCTAATGTATAAAGAGTAATCACTACTCTATTTATTTTTATACGTTTATTCTTTATAGGTCGTTTTCATATTGTACTTGTTTTACTGCTGAACTACTTTTTACGTGTATAAACAAGCGCCATCCAACCAGTAGATGGAGTGGACTGTTGTGCACAAAGCGCAATGAGATAATGTAACTCGGTTCGGATCAGAAGGAACTGGGTGGTCTTTACTCAGAAAGAGTCTGACCATCCCTCAAGCTCTTCCCAGGTTGGGTCTGTACTACTAGTGGTGGTAAGACCCGGCCTGTCGGGAAAAGTCATTGGTTTAGAATATTTATATAGAATTTGTAACTAGTGTTATTTATTTTATTTTATTTTATTTATTTATTCTTTATATACAATTGCATATCGGAGGACTTAATGCTAGAAGCATTTCTGCCAGTCAACCTTTTGGTAGTGCAGAGATGTGTGGTAGGTGATATACAGCAATTTAGGAAGTTACGTGAGGTGGAGGTGTAAATCAATTCTAACTTACATATATAAAAATAATATATAAATAATTATATAAAATACATACATATATAAACACTAATACACATAATATAAATAAGTAATATAATATAAAAAAAAATACATATAATGAGGACAATTTATAATCTAAGTGGGGAAACTACCATCATCTTGCCTATGTACTCACGCACCCTACGCTTGAAACACAACCGGCTGGTTGCAGCTCTGATATCCGAGGGAAGCTTATTCCACAAGTTATATTGAACGCATCGAGATGACGTAGTGACGTTTCAATAACTTATGTCATACACGTCAAATTAAGCTATAAGAAAAATAACCAAAAGGGCCGAAAAGAAAATTCGTTAAAAAAGTGATAATTTATTAAAATATTACTTTGAAGATTATATTTATAATCAAGTTAATAAAACTATAAAATGACTGAAACTCCAGAGGTTGGTTTATGTTTTACTTCATTCATGTTTCTTCGTAAGTTAACATACGAGAAGACACGTCATGTTTTTGAAGTGTAAACGTTTGGACGGTATCTTAGTTTTCTGTAATTTAGTCCTCGAATTTAATTATTCTTCCCTTTATGTTAAGGTATTTACTTGCATTTATTGTATGTGTGTATTTTTATGGTAACAACAGCTTTTCATGTTCATTTCAGACCGTGAAAATCAATAAGTGGGATGGTGCTGCCGCTAAGAATGCTATTGATGATGCTATCAGAGAGGTAAATTTATATCAAAATTTTTACTTTATCGGTCACTAAGAACCGATGCTATATACAATTCAAGACCCATGTAATTAATCTAAACTTGAAGATAATTAATAATTTTCTACCTTATCTGTAACTATAACTATTAATACTCCAATAAAGATCAGAAGAAACTAGTTTTAAATTTAAATGTAGTAAGTTACTTTCAAATGTCTTAATTCATCAAACCCTAAGCAAACACCCGCAATCATGCACCAATTGTACTTCTATTGTGTGTTGAATTACCACCGTTAATTAGTTTTTAGTCTGACTACACCCTAAAGAAAAGTAATAAGAATATAAATAACATTTTTGAATCTTTTGTCAGTGTCTATCTAACATCTAAAATGTTGTCAGTATAAAATCTGTGGACACACCTGAGCAGTTATAAGTATTTTGTTGGGCATATGGGATTTAAATTCCATCCCATCTGTTGATGAATTGGGAATAATAATAAGGGTAGGTCAGACCCCTGATATATGGACTAATGTTTTTATCTTGCAGGTATTAACGGGTGATCTGAAATGTAAAGAAAGCTTTGCTCTCATTGATGGAAGGCTATTTCTTTGTGCATTAGCTGTTGGTGTAGCTTTATATGCATTGCTCTGGGATTATCTGTATCCATTCCCACAGTCAAGGTGTGTATTATTTTTGGTTTTTAATGACATTCTTACTTTTTTTCCTTCCTTGCTCGTATATTTTATGTCCATAATTATAGTACACTGTACATTACATATTTATTTAATAAGTAATAAACAATATAAAATATTCACATTACCTTCAGTAGTATGTTGGTTGTTCAAACCAGTATTATTACCTAAAGTATTTTACCATCCAAGTTTTTTTTTATCTTATGGTACAATAAATATCTGATGTTTTTATGTAAAGTTGTATATTTGTAAACATATCTTCACACAGGAGAAAGTCCTAGTGTGAGGCAAGAAAGTTTTTACTAGGAAAGTCTACTATCTACTTAAATATAAAAATGTTAAAAGAAAGAAATTAAGTGAAAATAAATTACATTTATTTGCACTAAATTTTATCCAGAAATAGTATAATTTCTATGATATAAATCTAGAACAGAGCATCATAACATTTTAAGCTATGTTTACCATATTAGGTTTGCACCATACCTAAGAAGAAAAATTAATAATAATAAAATAGACTAAAAAACTATGTAATAAGGAAAGATATATAAAACTATGTAATAAGGAAAGATATATAAAACTATGTAATAAGGAAAGAAAAAAGTACATTTACTTTTAAAAAACATCAATGTTTTACAACAGTAAATTATTGAAATGAGTAGTAACAATAATTTCAATTTTTCTTTTATTACAGACTTGTCCTCATAATCTGTGTCTCGTCATACTTCATCTTGATGGGCATTCTAACACTCTACACAACATTCAAGGAGAAAGGAGTCTTTGTAGTGGCTAAGGAGAAATCTGGCAACATTAACAGGGTCTGGGAAGCTAGATCTTATGTTAAGAAGTAAGTTATGGCGAAATTATCACCTAAAAAATATAAAAACTGTAAAATCTTGCATGGAGTATGACCATAGGCTCATCCAGTCTCACATTGTCCTGATATCATAACCAGTGAGGAAAATGTATCTCTAACATTCTATATTTCATGTGCACCTCTGTGCCACTTAAATTGAACAGTCATTTTATGTTGGATAGTTCATTTCTCGAAAAAGGCTAACCCATCACAACCTATAGAAGTTGAGAAATGGATGAAATGGCATAATAGGATATGGTTGAAAGGGAGAAATAAGAATATTTTAGACTAGCTTCCGCCTGCGGCTTCGCCCGCGTGCTGTGTTGATAAAAAGCAGCCTATAGCAATAGAACAAAATCGAAGTATATCGTCATTTTTACGGGTACTCTCCAATGGGTAAAAACCCTATTACTAACTAAGTCTCCGCTATCTGTCCGTCCATAGATCTTTAACCCTTAAGGCTAAACACACGACGGAAACTTAAAAAACGGAGTAACTTCTCCCGTTTTCCCAACATTTCTCTTCACCGCTCTGCTCCTAATATTTTTAGCGTGATGAAAATAATCATAACCTGTCCAGGAATATAAAGAGTAATTATACCAAGTTTCATTAAAATCCGTCGAGTAGTTTTGTTTCTATAAGGAACATACAGACAAAAATTTTACTGATTGCATTTTTGGCATTAGTATCAATCACTTATCACCCCCTGGTAGTTATTTTGAAAATATATTTATGTACAGAATTGAACTCTCTACAGATTTATTATAAGTATAGATTACATTTTTAATTGCAAATTTAGCATCTAAAGTTGTCAATTGGAATGTTAAGATTTAAAGTGTAGAATTTCAAAGGGTTAGGAAGGTAGAATGAAAAGAAGTTTACTAATAATCATTTTTATTAGGTTGGTAATTCAAAATTGTGGTCTTTTCTTGGCAACATTTTCCATGATTATATTCCTTTACGTAGAAATTATTAGTTACTTGATAAACATCACTTAAAAGTACATTTTACGAAATATTAACTAAAAATCGCGGGTTACTCACGTGTATATATTGAGAAACGCTCTACTAGTTGAGCAGCGTGCGCAGGCGACGTCGCCGCGTCCGCGCACGCTGCTTTTCTCGATATATACACGTGAGTAACCCGCGATTTTTAGTTAATTTAGTATACCTCACGATAGTTATTATAAAAACATTTACGAAATATGTTTAAAGTTTGTAACATTCTTGTTATGTTAAAATATATTCTTCTTCAACAGACACGACGACAAGTACAACCTGGTCCTAGTGATGCGCGACTCCTCAGGCAAATCTCGTGAAGCCTCTATCACCAAGTCTTTCGCCA